TGCTGCCATATTGGTCACTCACATTTGGTACATTGCCCTTCTCTTCTCCCAAATCAATACTTACCTCTACCTGTCTAACAGTCTTCCCTCCCCACCCCTCCCACCCCTGGTAACCAACAAAGAAAATTTCCTTCAATAGATAAACCTTTACTTAAACGAACTAATACAATATTTGTCCTTTTGTGATTGACTTATTTCACTCAGTATAATGTCCTCCAAGTTCATCCATGTTATGCAGTGTTTTGTAGACTCTACATTCTTCTTTTTTTTGTGTGTGATTTGGGTGAAGATTTACATAGCAAATTCACTTTCCATACAGCAGTTCACATATACTTTGTCTCATGTCATTGACCACACTTTACCACAATGCAACAGCTCCTCTCCCACTTCCTCCCCATAGTTACCTCTTCCCAGTGTCCAGCCCTCCATACTCTCCTGCCCCCTGAGCTGTCTCCCTGTACATAAGCAGCCCTTCCTTCTCCCATGATTGTTCTCTCTAAGGTGTGTATCTACTTGAGGTAAATGTTTAATTCACATGCCTGTATTTTGTTTGACTGGAAACCACAGGTGTGGGTTCAATTCCAGACTTGAAGGGCAGCTAGGGGCCATAGTCAAAGTGGTTCCACCAGGCTCTATCGGACCAGCAAACCTGGTCCCCACCTTGATTTTTTTTTTCCTCCAAATGATTTTGAGTTTTGTTCCACATTGTTCTCCCTCTCTATCAAGGATCTCCTGCACAGATCCCCTTCCAAGTGGATGACGGTGGTAGCCGGGCACCATCTAGTTCTTCTGGTCTCATAGTTGTATACGCTGCAGATCGGATGGTGTACCAGTCTCTAGGACTAATTGTTTCCATGAATTTTGGTTTTCTTCATTCTTCTTTGCTCTTGACGAGGAGAGACCCATCGTTGCATCTAGATGGTAGCTTGCTAGCTTTTAAGATCCCAGTCGCTACTTGCCAAAGAGACTCTACATTATTCTTCAGTGTTGAATAGTATTCCATTGTGTGTATGTACCATAGTTTGATTATCCATTCCCCAGTTGGTGGACACCTAGGTTGTTTCCATCTTTTGGCTATTTT